ACAACCATGGTTTACATAAAGTCACATGCGGGCAACAAACAAACATAACCCCGAAATTTGCATGTTGATTGCTTTTGGAGTTGGGGTTTTGGAGGAGGTAATTAGGATTTAAAAAGGTCACGAAGAGGAGTCACACAATGGGATGACTGTGTAGGAGGGAGATAAGGAGCAGCAGGATTGTTTGGTGCTGAGGACCCAGGGCAGAGGGGGTGGGAGCTAAATTAAGACGAATGATCTCACTTTCTTCCTGTGACTCCTACTTCCTCCCCAGGGTCTGTTAATCCCAAAGACTCAAGGAGAAAGACCACCCTACCGATCCAAATCATCATGGCCCAATTAATTAAAGCACGCTATTGATTAAAGCAAGCTTTTTTATTCGTGTACTTGGGCTGCTACCCGCTAAGGCAAAGTTCAAGAGGTCAGTCTTGGATGTGAGGAAGACTACGTTTTCACAGCTCAGAAGCAGGGGGGTTCCAAATGGGGGGTTTGGAGGGAAAAATAGGTGGGGTTACAGGTGCAGAATAGAAGCACAAGTCAGTCATAATGACCTCCTGAAACAGAGCATAGGCACAACAAGTGAGTCATAATGACCTCCTGAAACAGAGCACAAGCACAACAAGTGAGTCATAATGACCTCCTGAAACAGAGCATAGGCACAACAAGTGAGTCATAATGACCTCCTGAAACAGAGCATAAGCACAACAAGTGAGTCATAATGACCTCCTGAAACAGAGCACAGGCACAACAAGTCAGTCATAATGACCTCCTGAAACAGAGCACAGGCACAACAAGTCAGTCATAATGACCTCCTGAAACAGAGCATAAGCACAACAAGTCAGTCATAATGACCTCCTGAAACAGAGCACAGGCACAACAAGTCAGTTATAATGACCTCCTGAAACAGAGCACAGGCACAACAAGTCAGTCATAATGACCTCCTGAAACAGAGCACAGGCACAACAAGTCAGTCATAATGACCTCCTGAAACAGAGCACAAGCACAAGTCAGTCATAATGACCTCCTGAAACAGAGCACAAGCACAACAAGTGAGTCATAATGACCTCCTGAAACAAATACAAGCACAACAAGTCAGTCATAATGACCTCCTGAAACAGAGCACAAGCACAAGTCAGTCATAATGACCTCCTGAAACAGAGCACAAGCACAACAAGTGAGTCATAATGACCTCCTGAAACAAATACAAGCACAACAAGTCAGTCATAATGACCTCCTGAAACAGAGCACAAGCACAAGTCAGTCATAATGACCTCCTGAAACAGAGACAGACTGCAAGGTGGTCATAAGGTAGACATAACAACAGGTGGTCATAGCAACCTCTTGAAACAAAGGTAGGATTGCAAGATGGTTGTAGCAACTTTTTGAAACAAAGACGTGGTTACCATTTCCTGGAACAGGCAGTACAGAAACCATTTGTAGTTAAGGTTACAGGTGGGACACAGCCCAAACCTTGAGAAACAGATTTAAACATAACAGGAATATAGTTTGTCTTTACTATAGGATGGTTTTTAAGCCTAAAATGAAGGCAGGGTGGCTCATCAGGTCCCACTTCCTCCCCAGAGTTCCACTTCCTCTCCAGTATCCTACTTTCTCCCCCATGATCCCATTTCCTCCCTGTGAATTCCACTTCCTCCCCAGGGTCACACTTCCTCCCCAGGGTCACACTTCCTCCCCAGTGTCCTACTTTTCCCCATGGTCTCAGTCTTCCCAGGGCCCTATTTTCTCACTGCGGATTTCACATCTTCCCAGGTTCCCCCTCCAACTCCCTGCAAGGTCCCACTTCCTCACTGTGAATCTCACTTCCTCACTATGGATCTCACTTCCTCACTGTGAATCCCACTTCCTCACTGTGGATCTCACTTCCTCATTGTGAATCTCACTTCCTCACTGTGGATCCCACTTCCTCACTGTGAATCTCACTTCCTCACCGTGGATCTCACTTCCTCACCATGGATCCCACTTCCTCACTGTGGATCTCACTTCCTCACTGTGAATCTCACTTCCTCACTGTGAATCTCACTTCCTCACTGTGAATCTCACTTCCTCACTGTGGATCCCACTTCCTCACTATGGATCCCACTTCCTCACTGTGGATCCTACTTCCTCACTATGGATCCCACTTCCTCACTGTGGATCTCATTTCCTCACCATGGATCCCACTTCCTCACTGTGGATCTCACTTCCTCACTGTGGACCTCACTTCCTCACTGTGGATCTCACTTCCCCACTGTGGATCCCACTTCCTCACTGTGGATCTCACTTCCTCATTGTGAATCTCACTTCCTCACTGTGGATCCCACTTCCTCACTGTGGATCTCACTTCCTCACTGTGGATCTCACTTCCTCACTGTGGATCCCACTTCCTCACTGTGGATCTCACTTCCTCACTGTGGATCTCACTTCCTCACTGTGGATCCCACTTCCCCACTGTGGATCCCACTTCCTCACTGTGGATCCCACTTCCTCACTGTGGATCTCACTTCCTCACTGTGGATCTCACTTCCTCACTGTGGATCCCACTTCCTCACTGTGGATCTCACTGACACAGAACAGCCACTCTCCAGGTGGAGTGCTCTGGCTTCGGATGTCCCGTCTCTAGATCTGTGAGAAATAAATTCTCCTTTGCACATGACCCTGTCTCGGGAATTCTGTCAGGATAGTGGTCTCCAGACACAGGAACTGGATGTCCTGGGAAAGAATCTGGGGGGCAGAAAGCCTTTAAGGAAAAGATGTCGTCTCTAAAACAAGGAGATGAAGACATGACAGGAAGTCCCAGATGCTTGGAGAAGACGCGCGTGCGTGTGCTCGCGCGCACACACACACACACACACACACACACACAATCTGGCAGCACAAGTAGCTCCCCAGAAGGACCCTCTGACTTCACACCTTCCTCCCTACAGCACTCCGGTGCCCGCCCCCTTCCTTCTTCAATCCTCCTTCCTGCCTGACCAGCTATAGGAAAGCCCGCCAACCCCAGAGCTCACCTGAAAATGCTCGTATTAAAAATGCTTCTTCACTGTCCCTGAGACACAGCCAGGCCCCAGCTGACACTTGGGAGGACAGAGGCAAAACCACATAAAAATGGGATTTGCAGAAAAGGCAGAGTCAACGGCAAGAAACAGGAAAAGGTCTAAGTGGAACAGTGTTGTCCAGCAAGGGAAACAGGGAAGTGCTCGCATATAGGACGGAAGCAATAGTGAAGTTAGAACCTCATTTAAACAAGCCACAAGTGTGGCCAAGGGCCCCAGTCGGGGAAAGGGGGCCACTTGACCACCATAGGGAACGTCAGAACAGCTTAGAGGCACTTCACAGTTGTGTTTGCATGGAAGAGCTTCTGATGTTTCAGAAACACACAGACTGCTTATATATGAAACACCCTGAACTCCAGAATCCCCTTCACAATGGCTCCCTGCAGAGCAGCAGAGGTGAGCCGGGTTAGCACAGAGCAGTGTCAAAGCCAGGCAGGGCATCCAGAGCTCTCCCCATCCATTAGATCTTATAAAAAACATTAATCAACACATAAAGGCCTACACGGGTCCAAGCCAGACAGAGCCCCAGCACTGACAGAGGAAGTGGAAGTGAACACAAACCCCACCCCTGCCAAGAACACAAACCCTACCCCGGAGTGGAGTCTCACTGGAGATTCAAACCACACTTAAGCACAGGCCCCATGCCCGGCAGAACAGGACCAGCACAAAACAAGCTCATACGTGTTTTGGGAGATTTTTTTCTTGTTTTGTTTGGGCATTTATTTTCACATGGTTAGTCTTTGTTTTGTATATTATGTCTTCTGAGTTTGTGTTTTTATGAGGGGTGTGTGTGTGTTTGCATGTGCAGCTTCTTGTATTTTTGCTTTTCTTTATCCTAGTTTGTTTTTGTTTGCTAAAGAGAAAGAAAAGGCATGGGGTTGGGTTGATGGGGAGGTAGAAAGGACCTGAGAGGAGCTAGGGGAAGAGAAACTGTGATTGGAAGATACTGTGTAAAAAAAAAAAGTATTTTTTTACAATAAAAATTAACTAACAAAAGTATATTTTAAATGTTTGGGCTGGAGAGGTGGCTTTCCTGGAGGGCTGGGGTTCAGTTGACAGCACCACACAATAGCTCACAATCGTCTGTATCTCGAGTTCTAAGGCATCTGTCTGTCACCCTCTTCTGGCCGCCGCCATCTGACACCTCACGGTGCACGGATTTACATGCAACCCAAACACCCATACACATAAAATAAATTTAAAAAATCATACATAGAAAATAATAGGTAAATCTTAAAAAGTAGGCATGTCTGTAGTAGAAAATGAACAAAACCAAAATGGAAACATAGCTTCATTTTACTTTATTTATTAATATCACCAGTGTGTGTCTTCGGTACTGTTCTACTGCTGTGAAGACACCATGACCAAGGCAACTTGTAGAAGAAACATTTCACTGAGGGCTCGCTTACCATTTCTGAGAGTGAGTCCATGCCCACACGCGGGGAGTGTGGCGGCAGGCAGGCAGGCATGGCGCTGGGGCAGTAGCTGGGCGCTCACATCTGATTTGCAGGCAGAGAGAGACTGGGCTTGTTGTAGACGCCCTAGTGACACACCTCCTCCAACAGTTCCACTAACTGGGACCAGATACTCATATGTGAGCTATAGGGGCCATTCTTGTTCAAATTCATACTGTGCATGTGCTTATGTATGTGGCTGTGTGTGTACATGTGTGTGTGTCTGTGTGTGTGTGTAGGTCAGAGGGAAGCTTCGGAGAGTCATCAGGGTTGGGCACAAGTGCCTTTCCCTTCTGAGCTATCTCACTGGTACTTTTTAGCCCTGAGGACTGTGAAGGATAACCCACTAGGCTAGTCCAAACATAAAGCAGATGAAGGCTGATGCTCAATGCCCAAGTCTACAACAAGAAAGAGGGCCTCAGAAATCCTTTGAGATGTCACCAACCTCACCAGGATCGGAAAGCAAGAGGAAAGGGGGCACCCCCAACCGTCTCACCTGTTTTCTACAGCTTTCCTTACCACCAGCCATCCTGGACTTCCTGCCAGTGGGGCTGGACTTCCTCCGGTGGGGCTGGACTTCCTCCAGTGGGGCTGGACTTCCTCCGGTGGGGCTGGACTTCCTCCGGTGGGGCTGGACTTCCTCCCATGGGGCTGGACTTCCTCCAGTGGGGCTGGACTTCCTCCCGTGGGGCTGGACTTCCTCCGGTGGGGCTGGACTTCCTCCAGTGGGGCTGCTTTGGTGCTTAGCCAGCACTGTGCTGGGCAGCTTGGTTGGCGAACCTGAGGAACAAAATGTGGGCAGGGCCTGTGGGCTCAGCACTGATCCTTGGTAGGGAATGGAGGAGGTTCAATTTGGTCCAGAGTAGACTCCAGCCTTCCCTTCCCTCCCTCTCTCCATCCTGTATTTTGTGTTAGGGTGGACAAAAAGGGCGGGATAGACAGATGGCCCACAGAAGGAATAGCGTAAAGTAAGCCATGGAAGGGGCCTTTAAGGGCAGTAGGCTCTTGGGGTGTGTGTGTGGGGTGGGCAATGATGGCCACTTGTCTTTCTGAAAACTTACTGGGAGACACCTGGGCTAGCTGAGGGGCAGGCCAGCAAGTGCCGCTGGCCACTAGGGGGCGCAGGGTAGAGCTGGGGCTGACCTAAAGGAAGGGGTGCAGGGTTGCTGACCTGAAACAGATGTGGAGGTGGGGAGGGTTTCACTCCAAATGCAAGGGCTGGCACTCTGAGCATGTCCCCAAGGGATGCAGCTTACCTCTGTGGCTTCTGAAACTTCCTCTGCAATGGTAATTTGGGGGGCAGAAGCCCTTCATCTTTGACTGAGCTCTGAGACCCAGAGGCAGCCTGAAGCTGAGAGTTCTTTTTCTCAAACAGAAAAATTCCAAGCCCTCTCCTTGGAGCAGAACTCCAGCATTTCATGTTTTTATAAGGCTTCCTGCTTTCAACCTCTTTGAAGTACAGGGGGAAAATATTTTTCTGTCTGTGTCTTAGAAAGCTTTATAAACAAGGATTTTCACTGGGCACACGGGCCTAGCGACTCGCTTAATGATGGCTACATGGAAGCTTGTGGCTAATGAAAAGATACCTTCTAAAAATAGACAGTTATCAACATTCGGCTCACCACTTAAGGGCTCCACTGAAGCAGTACTCCAGGGGAAAAAAGAGTCACACCTCCTGATCTCTGTGAAGCCTCGACCCCTTGAGAGTCTAATGATGAGGGCAGGGAGCCGTGCTGCAGAGATGGCTCAGCAGAATGTGAACCTTGCCGGGCGGTGGCGGCACACATCTTTAATCCAGCACTCGGGAGGAAGAGGCAGGCGGATCTCTGTGAGTTTGAGGCCAGCCTGGTCTACAGAGTTCCGGGATAGCCAGGGCTGTGTAGAAACCCTGTCTGGGGTGGTGGCAGGGGGAGGGGGAAGGGGGAGAAGACTATGTACCTGAGTTCAGAGTCAAGCACCCACATGGAGCAGCTTGGGATCTGTTGCCCTCTCCTGGCTTCCTCAGGCACCTACAAATCCATGGTGCACACACACACACACACACACACACACACACACACACACAAATCCATGGTGCACACACACACACAAATCCACGGTGCACACACACACAAATCCATGGTGCACAAACACACACACACATACAAATCCATGGTGCACACACACACACACAAATCCATGGTGCACACACACACACACACAAATCCATGGTGCACACACACACACACAAATCCATGGTGCACACACACACACACAAATCCATGGTGCACACACACACACACACACACACACAAATCCATGGTGCACACACACACACACAAATCCATGATGCACACACACACACAAATCCATGGTGCACACACACACACAAATCCATGGTGCACACACACACACACACAAATCCATGGTGCACACACACACACACATACAAATCCATGGTGCACACACACACACACAAATCCATGGTGCACACACACACACACACAAATCCATGGTGCACACACACACACACACACACAAATCCATGGTGCACACACACACACAAATCCATGGTGCACACACACACACACACACAAATCCACGGTGCACACACACACACACAAATCCACGGTGCACACACACACACACACAAATCCACGGTGCACACACACACACACACAAATCCACGGTGCACACACACACACACAAATCCACGGTGCACACACACACACACACACAAATCCACGGTGCACACACACACATACAAATCCATGGTGCACACACACACACACATACAAATCCATGGTGCACACACACACACACACATACAAATCCATGGTGCACACACACACACACACACAAATCCATGGTGCACACACACACACACAAACAAATCCATGGTGCACACACACACACACACACACAAATCCATGGTGCACACACACACACACACAAATCCATGGTGCACACACACACACACACACAAATCCATGGTGCACACACACACACACACAAATCCATGGTGCACACACACACACACATACAAATCCATGGTGCACACACACACACACACATACAAATCCACGGTGCACACACACACATACAAATCCATGGTGCACACACACACACACATACAAATCCATGGTGCACACACACACACACACACAAATCCATGGTGCACACACACACACACATACAAATCCATGGTGCACACACACACACACACACACAAATCCATGGTGCACACACACACACACAAATCCATGGTGCACACACACACACACATACAAATCCATGGTGCACACACACACACAAATCCATGGTGCACACACACACAAATCCATGGTGCACACACACACACACAAATCCATGGTGCACACACACACACACAAATCCATGGTGCACACACACACACACACACACAAATCCATGGTGCACACACACACACACATACAAATCCATGGTGCACACACACACACACACATACAAATCCATGGTGCACACACACACACACACACAAATCCATGGTGCACACACACACACACATACAAATCCATGGTGCACACACACACACACACACACAAATCCATGGTGCACACACACACACACACAAATCCATGGTGCACACACACACACACACACAAATCCATGGTGCACACACACACACACACAAATCCATGGTGCACACACACACACACACATACAAATCCATGGTGCACACACACACACACACATACAAATCCACGGTGCACACACACACATACAAATCCATGGTGCACACACACACACACATACAAATCCATGGTGCACACACACACACACACACAAATCCATGGTGCACACACACACACACATACAAATCCATGGTGCACACACACACACACACACACAAATCCATGGTGCACACACACACACACACAAATCCATGGTGCACACACACACACACATACAAATCCATGGTGCACACACACACACAAATCCATGGTGCACACACACACAAATCCATGGTGCACACACACACACACAAATCCATGGTGCACACACACACACACAAATCCATGGTGCACACACACACACACAAATCCATGGTGCACTATCACGGATATTCGATGCTATAAGGAAAACAATATATTTATTTACCAGAGAGAGAGAGAGTCGCACAAACCAGGAGTTAGAAGCGTGGCTGGCTTCCAGGAGAAAAGGGAGGTTCCTTTTCCTTTCACTTCCTTTTATATCTATCTGTGTCAGTTTACATGTCCCCGCCCTCATGGGCGGATAGCTTTGTGGGGTTCACTCCTACAATTCCCCTTTTAGTCTAAATAGAAGATTTAAATTTGATACAAACTCAAACATATACAACATATATACATAGAGGGTGATAATTAAGTTATAATCTACTTATCCTAAGCTAAACATATCCTTTCCACCTAAATTCTAAACTTATCTGAAAAGGATGCCTAAGTCTGAACACCTCCTTCCAATCCCAACCCTAAAACAATTGTAAATTAACACTAACAGGTGTAAACTATTCTCTAATGTCAATAGTAGGGAGAAGGGACTTGGAATTCTCAAATTTACTTCCTGCTGAAGTGGGACGATGACAATCATGTGGACCCGTGGGAAGAAATTGTTAGAGTAACAAGAGTCTTAAGTAGGTCAGTTAGTCTCTGTTTTGCAGGAGAGGCTTGACTGAAGTTCCGGATTAGATTTTTGATTTTGATTGAAACTCTTGTCTGAAGCTCTGATCAGATTGTAGAAGATGCACTGTATCAGTTCCTTGGCCTGACGATGTGTCAGGTGATGTAGTTCCAAGCTGGTTTCAGGATGGTACCTGTCAGGTGGGGTCGATGATGTGGGGCAGTTTAGATGTATCCAGTCGAATCAGGCGGAATCGGGGAAGTGAATCCACATTCTCTTTCTGAAGCAGTTGAAGATCGTTGTCAAGAAATCCCTTTTTCTCTGGAAAACTGAAATATTAATGTTAGCACAGAAATTTTTAACTTTTATGTGTATGAATACTGGGGTTTCTTGAATACTGGGGTTTCTTTCCATCACTTCTTTGGCTCCCTCTTCATTCATTTGCTGGAGGCCCTAGAACTCTCCTGGGTGCTGGATGCACTGTGGGAGCCCCACAAGCCCCCCACCAGAATTACCTCTGCTCTATTTCTGTGAACCTTTACAGGCAGACACAGGGAAGGGGCGATAAATATTTGCTCAAATTTTTTGCTGCTTTGTGGAGATCTGTGCACAGGGAATGTATTCGAACTGATTAAAACAGTGTCTGCCTGTAAAGGTTCACAGAAATAGAATCTTGCAAATCAAATAAACAAACTAGAATCCAGCAGAAGGTGTTTTGGACCCCACAGCAAATCCTGCTTGCAGCAGAGAACCCTTTTGTAATGGAAATATCTCCCACTTCCCCCGCTTGCTGTTCTTGGGTTCACAAGCCTCGGAAAGTCTATGCAAAGTGTGTGTAAAGAGATTTTCTGTAGTTTTTAAAGCACTCATGCCATCCTTTAGACTCTCTTCTCTTAGACACTAAAGTGTATGTATGCATGCGTGCATGTATGTATGTGGGCATGTGGTTGCGTGTGTGTGTGGAGGTCAGAGGACTCGTGTCATCAGGCTTGGCAGCATGTGAAGGGTGACCCATGTCACCCTTCCCGCTGGATTCCTTATGAATTTGTTTTATTTTTATTCATGTATGCCTATGAGTGCCTGCTGTATGTGTGTGAGAGTGTGTGTGTGTGCGCGTGCGTGCGCGCGCGCGAGCGAGCGCTACACATGTATGAATGACATTTAATTTTTAAACGGACAAGAAACTGGAGGAAAAGATGGCCTTCATGGGAGTCCTAACAAAGCAGGCTTTGGAAAAGGTCAGGGTCAGAGTGTCACCACCCAGCAGTGATGAATGCGTTCTAGAGATACTATTGTGTGGTTCTGTGCCCTCCCCCCCCCCCCCCAACTCTGGCCTTCAGTCTACTGAAACAATGGACACCAAGAAACTGGAATTCCCCAGGGCCCTTGTGCTAGAAGGGAAAATTTGAGGTCTGGGCCAGCCACACCTTGTTCTAGACCACTTAGCTATGCTTGACGCTGGCCGGCTACTAAAAGTAACTTCGTGTCAGGGTCCTGGAGATGAACAAACTGGGCTGTGCTGGATAGTTTTCAGTCAACTTGACACGAGCTGGAGTCACCTGAGAGGAGGGATCCTCAGTTGAGAAATGCCTGCCAACGCTGGACGTAAGCACATCTGTAGGGCACTTCCTTAATGAGTGACTGATGGTGGAGGGCTCAGCCCCTCGTGGGTGGGCTCAGCCCTGGACCGGCAGCCCTGGGCTCTGTGAGAACAAGTCAGTGAGCAGCGCCCTCCGTGGCCTCCGCGTCAGCTCCTGCTGGCCTCCAGGTTGAGCTCCTGCCCTGATGCCCTTTGATGAGGACTGTGCCGTGAAAGCATGAGTGAAATGAACCCTTTTCTCCCCAGCTGGCTTTCGCCATGGCGTTCTGTCACAGCAACAGTAACTCTAACCAGACTGGCTCTTTGTGTCACTTCTCAATGAAGCCGCACTGAATAAGTCTCCCCCTCCCCTGCTGCTTTTCACTATATTGTGACTGTTTTAGTGGGCTTATTGAGGACAGGGGGCCCAAAGTGGCTTGTTACACACAGCCTGTGACTCGAAAGTCCAGCAACAACAGCAGGACAAGTAGGGTCCATGGGACACAAGAATGGGAAGCCACGGAGTAGAAGAGCCATGGTACTTGACATCTGGGCCATTTTGATGACAGTGTTTCAGACAGAAAGGCTGATTTACCTTTGCAGACTCAGTGTGGGCCCATACTCCTCCCTTCTTTCCTTCCTTCCTTCCTTCCTTCCTTCCTTCCTTCCTTCCTTCCTCCCTCCCTCCTTCCCTTTCTCTTTCTCTGTGTCTCTGACTCTCTCTTTTATAACTAGTTAACACAAGCAAAGATACTCTCCCTTTCTATATAGGAAGCTCCTTCCAAGAGGTAAACGTCAGGTTCAGTGATGGGGCTCTGAGAGCCAGAGGAGGAGTTGGCAATGATTGTAGCATGCTGTAGGGACACATGGAGGATTTGGAGGGATGGAGAAATGCCACAAGAGCTTTGTGAGGTGAGGACCAGCAGGGAGGGAGGGAACAGAGGCTGGAAGTCAGAGAGACTCCCTGATTACCTAGATGCAAGATAGGAACGGTGGATGTCCTCAGGGTGGGGAGCTGCTGAGCCTGAGGGGAGGCGGGAAGGGCTGAAGGAGAGCCATGCTGTCAGTCAGCTTTGGTCACTATAATGGAATCCACCTATGGAGCGGAAAGGGTTATGGGTTTGAATCCTCTAGTCCAAAATCAAGGAGACCCTCAAAGGGGGCCTCTGATGAGGGCGGCTCATCACTGTGGGAACACACCAGGCAGCAGACCATTATGTCATTGCCAGGGTGTCTCACATTCCCCTTTAAGCCACATCCCATGAGACTCCACCCTCTGGAAACCCCAACAGCACCGCCCTGGGCACTGAAACTTTACCACTCAGGTCTTCGGGAGACATTCGAGAACTCAACTATAGCAAGGTCCCATTAGCAGCGTTCTCAGAGCCAGAGAGGGGGAGACGCAAAGCGTCTTAGGGGAGTCTTCATTCATCCGCTCTTGCTTGCCTCTTAGGGTGGAGGCTGATAAAAGCATTGTGAAGTCCCCTGGGACTAGCAGCCTCCTAGAGTGTGGAGCAGTCCCCTTGGAGGAGGCGCTTACCAGATACCGTCAGAAGAGGCCGTCACTTTAGCACATTGGTTATTTTGAGGTAAATTTAAGGCTAGCCAGCGCAGCAAAAGCTCTTTATTCTCTCCTTGTCCTCCTATAGAGAAATATGAAAATCCCCTTTGGTAGAGAGAATTTCCATTAGAGAAAAAAAAATAGAATGCTACTGGAGGACAGTTTTTATAGCCTGAGAGACTGTTATCTGCATAATGAAACAATATTGGTTAGGTGGATCTTCCCATAATTCGTCTTCATTGCCCGCATGAAGCCCAGAAGCTCTGTTCTTCTCTACAGCAAAGAATGCATTATAAGCCTCACTTATCAGGTCTTTTCTGAGTTGTGCACACACACACACGAGGGAGAGAGAGAGTTTGCATTTATTTAGTGTGAAGTGTTTGTGTGTACACACACTGAAAGACCCCGAATTTATAGAAATAAAAATAAGCTTAAACAGGGAGGGCACCCCACTAGAGAACTTGGGAAGTGAACAAAGGACCCCATCCCAGGAACTGGCCAAACCACAGAATGGAATGTAAGGTTTAGCAACCTTAATTGCAGAAGGGCTATAAACCCACAAAAGGCCAAATTCTGGGCTGCTGACCACCTGTGACAACTGACCAGGGCGTCAGAGATGGGCAAACAAGATTTGTGGGAACCACCATTTACTTAGGGAGAGATGATTAGCTCATACCAAGGTTTGAGGAATTTACAACGTGTAGGTCAGGAAGACATCTACTCCCCCTGGTCAGTAGTCATGTACCCCCGGTCATAAGATAGGGACCCCTCCCAAAGGCTTGTGGTTTTTGTCTTTAAAAGCTGATTGTAACTGAACCTCGGGGCCAATCGGTCTAAAAGCTGACCGAGAGGCCCATCTGCAGATGCCTAATTAAAGCCTCTTGCGTGTTGCATCAATTGGCGTGTGGACTCCTGATTCTTGGGGTGATGAATCCAGCTTGGGGACCCCTCCTCAATTCGGGGCACCCCAACAACACAAGTCACCAAGAGAAATACCACCATGTAGAGATCTTGATGCCGTGATCTAGAACCTCAGAACTGTGAGTTGAGTAAACCCCTTTTCTTGATAAGGCATCCAGACTCAGGTATTTTGCTGTAGCAACAGAGAATGGAGCAGGCAAGGACCCTAGAGAGGCAGATGAAGCGTCTTTTGCCCCTTGTACTATCCCATGTGGAGCTGACAGACAGTCTATACATAGGACTGTTGGGGAACAGAGAAAGGGGGCTCAGAGGGCTCGAGAAGAAATGAAGAAGTGCGAGGCCTTTTTGTGAAGAAGGGCTCCATGTGCCTGTTGCTAACGGTGCCTGTGTGGTGGTAAACAGTGAGTAGCCAGCTCTTAGAATTAAGCAAGGAGGCTGCTGTCTTGTGAACCAGCTCTTAGAATTAAGCACGGAGGCTGCTGTCTTGTGAATTCTACTGCTGTGACTGAACCCAGCAGCATCAGCTCACTGAACACCATCGTATAGTCCTTACATCAGAGACACACTAGTGGGGATGACCTCACGGGTGTCCACGGTAAAATAATGACACACGGGCTTTGAAAACTCACCTCCATTTGAATGTAACTTGCTTGCCTCATTTACTCCTGAGGAGGTAGCTTGAAAATGTAACACGAAGCCCTTGAGGGGAGGCTTGAAGCAATCCCAGTGACCGCCCGGTCCAGGACGGACTCTGACCTGCTGGCAGCCTGGGCCACAGAACAATCTGGCGAGACGGAGGCCTGTTCCATGGAGAGACGCTCAGAGGTTGGACAGGAAGGACAGCAGGCAAGAGTTCTAACCAGAAAGAACAAAAGAGCTAATTTAAGCCTTGCATTTGCAAATGCCACCTGAACTAGGATGGTCAGACTAAGACAGCATGCCAGTGCCAGCCAAAGTGAGAACTGAGCAGTGCCACCCAGTTAGTCAGCACTTTGAAGGCAGCGCCATTGTGAAGTTCAGAACAAACAGACATCAAGAGGCTATTTAAATGCAAATGTGTCATGGAAGCCACTGAAAGTGATGTATCTCCAGAATGCTGCCAGCCCACCCTCCAGCAGCCTCTGCTCACAATAGTGTTGTTATTTTTTCTCTCTGCAGAGCCTGTGTTACTGGAGTGTGATTTACCTGTGTTAGGAGCAGATCTGAGGGCGGTTTCGGGCTCCTGCAGGGCAGAGCTGGCATGAGGGCCCTCTGCTTGCAATTAGCGCCCACCAGGCAGTGTTTGGGCTGAGGAACTCCCGCAGGCTCCTCTGCCTTCCTCCCGCGTGTCGCTTACTTGCTGGCCACAGTGGAGGAAGACAAACTTACCCAGACACTCACCAGCAGGAGGCTCAGGTTCCCCGACACGACTGAGTGGGCCGTCCACAGCCCCTGAGTCTGAGGTCGCAGCGTCTTCCATTCACTAAGGAATGGAAGGACTAAGCCTGCTCCTGGAGAGGATGGGAGATACCCGAGTCCATGGCCTGGATCAAGAAAGCACAAAAAGAGAAACATGGCATGTACTCTCCTATATATGGATTTTAGACATAGATCTGGGGAGTGCCAGTCTACAATCCCATGACCAGAGAGTCTGGGAAACAGAAACTTCATTTAGTGGCTGATCGAAGAAGAGGCAGACTCCCTTGGTTAAGCACTGAGCTGAACTCAAGAAAGCCAGTAACAGAGAGGGAGGACTGATGATCAAAGGGATTAAGACTGGTTTAACTCCCAGAAACAGCTGACCTGACAAGGGTTAACTCTTGAATCCCAGGCATCAGCCCGGGAATCCAGCATGGGACTGATCAAGACCCCCTGAATCTGGGTGTCAGTGAGGAGGCCTAGGGAATCTATTGAGCCTTGGGCAGCAGATCAGTACCCATCCCGAGTATACACACGGACTTTGGACTCCCACAGAAAAATGTGAGGCGCACTCTCACCCTGAACTCTTGGGGAAGGTTCTAGGCCCTGCCCTATATGAAATGACAGACTATGGAGACCCCCATGGAGGGCCTCACCCTCCCTGGGGGAATGAGGGGATAATGGGGGGGTTAGGGGGAGGGCATGGGAGGAGGGGAGGGAAAGGGAGAGGGACCTGGAACTGACTTGTGAAGCAACCTTGTTTCTTATCTAAATTTAAACTGGAAAATAAAATAAAAAAAGAAAGCACTGAGTTACAGAGTCCTGAGAACCCACAAAAAACTCAAAGAAACTCTGTGGATGAGCAAAGTCACCCAGCACAGTTCACCCACGTAGATGGAGTCATGGGCCCAGCAAGCACGATGAGTCGGGGTTTTAGAGTCTGTTCCACGAACTCTAGTTTGGGTTGAGAAATCCCCCAAAGAACTGTGTGTTAAAGCCTTGGTCCGGGCTTGGCCTTGCTGGCTGGGGATGGGGTCGTAGGACAAGAGGCTTACGGGAGATGTCAGACCTTTGGGAACATGTGTCGGTGAGGGGATGACAGAGCCGCAGTCCCATTCTCTTCCTCTTCCTTCTGCTACTGTGTGGGGCGAGCAGCTTGCTCGGTCATGTAACCCTTGTGGTGTATGCTGTTTCACCCCTGAACGGAGCACGGAGGGCCAGGGAGCATGCGCAAGCCCTCCCCCACCTCTTCTCCCTGTAAGCTACTTACCTTGGAGATTTGTTGCAGCGACAAAGACGTAACAAAACAGCTTGTGATCATGCTGCAGAGTTTCCCAAATGTTGGAAAGTTTAGTATACAATTAGCTTTGACGTGCTTCTTGAAGATGTTTATTTGTATGGGGGGGGGTGGGCACGTGGTGGCCAGACGTTGGCTCTCCCCCGTTACAGAGGATGCCCTGCCCTCTTGTCTGCTCCCTGTGGCTCTTTGTTTTTAAACCTCTGTCTGGAGTTGTTCAGAGTTAGGTGTGAAAGTTGCTGTGCTAGAGTGGATTACGCTACCCGTGGGTACCCTGCGCCCTCTTTAAAGAATTGACTTCCTAAGCCAGGCGATGGTGGTGCACGCCTTTAATTCCACCAGTTGGGAAGCAGAGGCAGGCAGATCTGTGTGAGTTCGAGGTCAGCCTGGTCTACCGAGTGAGTTCCAGGACAGCCAGGGCTACACAGAGAAACCCTGTCACGAAAAATGAAAAGAAAAAAAAAAGTACTTTCTCCATGGCTCCCTGACTTGGGAGGAAGAGACAAAGAATGGTAAAACCTTCACAGTCCGTTCATCTTCCTCTGGTTTAGGGAATGCTATGGAGCGTGGACACAGTTCAGGCCTGGAACTGCTTTCTGTCTGGAGGGAGGGCCTGGATCTCTGGTCCAGCCCTGGGCTTAGGCTGGTATTCAGGGAAGACAATGAGTGATGCCGACGAGGGCAGTTTCCACAAAGCCCATCTCTCGATGGCCCAGCTAGTAGTGATGGCAGAGGGCTGACTGATGAGGACAAGACCCTTGTGGAGGATGGGAAGAGGCAGCACTTAGCAAGGATGCCTGGAGCAAGCTGTTGCTACTGAGTTCACCGCATCAAAACACATGTACCGCCTCGTGACCATTCTTCAAACGGTCTCTGTGGGCAGTTGACATGATTAGGAATGTAGAAAATACTGATGATTCAGTGACTTCTGCCACACCACACAAGCATGAGGATCCGGATTTTGATTCCTAGCACCCACGTGGTGGGTCAAAGAAGAACGGCCCCCATAAGCTCATGTATTTGAATGCTTGGTTACTGAGGAGTTAAACTGTTTAAAAGGATTAGAAGGACTGGGGAGGTGTGGCCTTGTTGGAGGAAGTGTGTCACTGGGGGTGGACTTTGAGGTTTCAAAAACCCCATGCCAAGCCCAGACTCCGCCTCTCTGCCTGGGATCAAAGCTCTCAGCTACTGCTCCAGCACCGGCCTGCATAGCCGGGCTCCCCACCACAATAACAACGGGCTAACCCTCTGAAACTGTAAGCCAGCTCCAGTTAAGTGCTTTTGTTAATAAGAGATGCCTTGGTTATGGTGTCCCTTCACAGCAATAGAACAGAGACTAAAATGACCCACATAAAAGCCAGACACGATGGCAGTCCCCAGAGCTCACAGGCTGGCCAGCCTAGACAATTTGTGAGCTCCGGGTTTAAGACCCTGTCCCACAAAATAATAAGGTAGAGCAGAGTGAAGGAACATGCTCACCTCTGGCTTTTACATGAACACATGTGTATACATGCACACATCCACATGAATATGCCCATATGCCACACACACACATGTACACAAAAAAAATACTCAAGAACTCTGGTGATATGATCAGATTATGTTATATTTATATGTGGAAATGTCATAATGAGACACACACAATTAACCTGTGCTAACAAAAAGGAGAGCAATGAAAAATACTCGAGAATTCACTAAATAATATAAAAACTTATATATAAGTGAATGCAACAAGGTTATAATACAAGGTCAGTATGTAAAAATCAATGGTGCCCCTATACACCTGCGATCAACAATTCAAAAGTAGGAAACGGATCACACTCACAGTGTAAGAGAGAGACAGCTCTTTGGGGCTCAGCTGAAGCTGTAGTGCCAGGAACTGGGCTATTGCTGTGACAGAACTGACCATGCTGCTTATTGGAGGAATGCAGACTTTGGGTTAGGAAAGTGGCTGAATGCTGGGGGGGGGGGGGTCAGTGGGCCATCCTAGCAGGTCCATAGAAGGCAGTAACGCCAAGAGCAGAGGTTTCAGAGGGGAATAATATTAGCAACCGGCTTGCAGAACGTTCTGATGACTCTTTGGCAAAGAATGAGGCTGGTTCTTGCTTTTATTCTAGGAATCTGCTGGAGGCTATATTGAAGCGTTTTGGACTAACATCATTGGCAGAGAAGATTTCAAGAAAGCCAAGTATTGACTGTGTCTCTCAGTTATTATCACTCCTGTGCAGGTCTACAGTATAAAAAGCAGGGGAGGCAAAAAAAGAAATACAAAAAGAGCATCATGAAATTTCACGTGGGAGTGCTGCTTTGTGCTGACGGAGACAAGGGAAATGGAGTGAAGGGAGGGGTCCCCCATCCCGCTACCCCAGGGCTTGTGAAGAAAGCGGGCCTGGGGAATTATCTACCCCTAAAGAGCAGCAACAAAGGAAATCTTACACAAATGTAAGTCAAGGACTGGGCCAGTTTCCATCCCAAACAGGCAGAACTTGGCAGCTTTGTCCACGTGGCTTTGGAGTTAGAGTCCAGAAGGATGCAGGAACAAAGGGATTGTGGGATTTTCCTCTGCAGTTGAGGAAAGCCGTGTGTGGCCGGGAAGTCCCTTCATGGAGTCCTGGAGTGGCGTTGTGTGAAGCTGTGAAAGTGCAGCCTGGGTTGCCCTGATGACCTCAGGATACTGAGCTGCCAGAGCCGTGATGTCTGCCGACAAAAGCTACATAGAGGGGGAGGAGCCAGCCAGAGCCGTGGATGTCTGCCGACAAAAGCTACATAGAGGAGGAACCAACCCAAGAGAGAAAAGTGTTTACTAAGGCTGAAAGGACAGAGCTCTACAAACCCTTTGCACTTTGACATCAGACACAGAGACACTGGATTTGGAATTTGCTCTGTTAGGTATTGGCCCAGTATTTCCCCAATATGCCCCCTTCCCTCCCTTCTGGAATGATAATGTGTATTCTGTACCATTCTGTGCTGGAAGCATAGAATTTATTTATTTTTTTATGTTACAGGGGTGGCACTTAAGAGATTGCATTGAGTCTCAGAGGAGACTGTGGACTTTTACACAACGTTGAAATTGGAAGAACTATGGGGACTTTTGAAGTTGGGCTTTCTTGCTTATAATACGGCTACATGCCTACAGGGGCCAGGAATCAGAATGTGGCGGTTTGTGTGAGAACGGCCCGCAAAGGCTCATAGACTTGAACACTTGGTTAGTGGTTGATAAAACTATCTGGAAAGGATTGGGAAGCGTGGTCTTGTTGGAGGAGGCGTGGTCTTGTTGGAGGGGGTGTGGCCTTGTTGGAGGGGTGTGGTCTTGTTGGAGGAGGTGTGGCCTTGTTGGAGGGGGTGTGGTCTTGTTGGAGGAGGTGTGGTCTTGTTGGAGGAGGTGTGGTCTTGTTGGAGGGGGTGTGGCCTTGTTGGAAGGGTGTGGTCTTGTTGGAGGAGGTGTGGCCTTGTTGGAGGGGTGTGGCCTTGTTGGAGGAGGTGTGGTCTTGTTGGAGGAGGTGTGGTCTTGTTGGAGGGGGTGTGGCCTTGTTGGAGGGGGTGTGGTCTTGTTGGAGGAGGTGTGGCCTTGTTGGAGGGGTGTGGCCTTGTTGGAGGAGGTGTGGTCTTGTTGGAGGAGGTGTGGTCTTGTTGGAGGGGGTGTGGTCTTGTTGGAGGGGGTGTGGCCTTGTTGGAGGGGGTGTGGTCTTGTTGGAGGTGGTGTGGTCTTGTTGGAGGAGGTGTGGTCTTGTTGGAGGAGGTGTGGTCTTGTTGGAGGAGGTGTGTCACTGGGGTTGGCTTCAAGGTTTCAAAAGCCCATGCCAAGACCTCTCTCTCTCATTCTTCCTCCATTTGACATAGGCTGTGAGCTCTCAGCTCCTGCTCCAACACCATGCCTGCCTACTGCCATGCTCCCCACCATGTAAAACCCAACTGAGCCCCGATATGCCTGCAATAATGATAATGGACTCACCCTCTGAAACCGTAAGCAAGCCCCCAGTTAAATGCTCTTTTATAAGTTTCCTTGGTCACAGTGTCTCTTCAGAGCAATAGAAAAGGGACTAAGACAGAAGTAAATTAATAACAGCTTGAGAGGAGAGAGTGCACAGATTAATTATCTACAAGAGGAACCATGTGAGGGAAAAAACAGTTTTCCCAAAGTCCACTGAGACCAAGAAGCCTCTTTATGTGAAAGAATGAGGCAGGATACAGGCAACATGGGAGTAGCTTGTGCAGGGGAAGGCTCGTGGCTGTTGGAAGGACAGGGAGTGGTAAAGTCTGAAGATGTGGTTCAAACTACATCCACCATGCAGTTCACCGTTCCTGGGTGATGGGATTCCTAGGAGGAGGCTTATGGTCACCGTGTTCGCATTTGGAGTCTCCATCCTCAAGCATACAAGGAAATGACGGAGGAAGCGAGCTCCTCTCTGGACCTAGGGGAACTATAAGGAAGAGGCTCGGAGGTGGGGGACGTCAGGAAGTGCTTGCTTCGGGAGCACAGTACTCAAGGTGACAAAGCACCAGATGTTGGGGCACTATTTTCTTAGCTCCCCAATAGAAAGAAACAGAGATAAGTTTAACTAAAGAAATACAAGACTTAAGTACTAAAAATTACAAAACTTGCTGGAAGAAATTCAAGACCGAGAAGGTGAACACAGCCTGAGGTCATGGAGTGGAAGATCATACTTTTTCAGGGAAGGCAGAGCCACTTTAGACCCGGCTCAGCAGGGGAAGGTGGTAGTGTCCTCTCCCAGGCCGGCAGACCCACAGCAGAGTTGTCAGAAGTAGGAGCTGGGCTAACACCCTTTGGGGAGAGCTGTCCTAGTGACCTATCTCTGTTAGCCTGGCCCCAACTCCTGCCGGTTCCACAGTCTCCTAAAATCACCACCTGCTGGGGAATATGCATTGACAACATGAGCCTCTGAGTAATGTTTCAGATTCCCATGGCAGTCGCATAATG